GTGGTGTACACCTGTAATCCCAGCTACTCGGGAGGCTGAGGCAGGAGATTCCCTTTAACTTGGGAGGCGGAGGTTGCAGTGAACTGAGATTGCACCACTGCACTCAAGCCTGGGTGACAGAGCAAGACTCCATCTCAAAAAAAAAAAAAAAGACGAATGGTAAAGTTCATGCTAATAATTTAAAATTGTTATTTTTATTTACTTAAGAATGTGAAAATTGCAAATAAAAAACATCGTGATAATTTGAAAGAGAGAAACTGTGGAAGAAATGAAGCTGTATATTTTAGTACCTTTGATGCACTTTTTTTCTTGCTTTTTGAAAAAAGGGCCCTACATGTTTATTTTGCAGCAGACCCCACAAATTGTGTTGTCAGCCCTGCTTATAAATTCCCTTTCTACCACAGCCAGCTTGATTTAGTTTCCTAGTATTTACTAACAAAAGTCCTAATTTGGAAACTTAATCTAAACATGCTGGGGGTTTAACTTTATACTTTGCTCTAGCTTTTATATTCAAATGAGAGGAAGTATGATGCAATGTAAAGGCCATGAATTCTAAACTATTTAAGTTTTTTTTTTGAGACTGGGTCTCACACTGTTGCCCAGGCTGGAGTGCCATTCCATCACGGCTCACTGCAACCGCAAACTCCCAGGCTTCAAATGATCCTTCCACTTCAGCCTCCTGAGTACCTGAGACCACAGGCACACACCACCATGCCCAGCGAATTTTTAAAATTCTTTGTATAGACAGGGTCTCCCCATGTTGCCCAGGCTGGCCTCAAACTCCTGACTCAAGCCATCCTTCCACCTCAGCCTCCCAAAGTGCTGGGATGACAGGCGTGAGCCGCTGGGCCCGGCCCTATTTAATTGTGATTAATTTCAATTTAAGTAGTGTGATTGATACTATGCAATTGTACTGCACAGACCTAGAGCTCCCACGCTTCACTGACCCAGTGAATATGGAGGCTCCCTGGCTCCCTTCTAGGTGAAGGTGTCAGAGTACCCAACCAGAGCCTGGTACACAGTCGGTGCTCAACACAGAGCAGCTGAGCGGCTTATGGGCGCCCAGGCCTGGTTCCCATTAAGTGACAGATCTAGACTGGCAGGGTTGGAAGGGAAGAAGGAAGGCATGTGTGTGAGCTGCCACCAGGGAGTCACTTTCCCCCATCCTCTGAAGCAAATGTGGGAAAGGACTAGCCCTTGGCGAGGTCAGGACAGCCCCTTGGTGACTAAGGCTCATAGGAATCCACACCCAGCTGGATTCATTGTCCACAGAAAGCCTTCTCGGAAGGGCCCAGCCTCCAGCAAGCTGGGGTGATGTGTCAGGGAGATTAAGGCGCCTCTGGTATGGCTCTGGAAAGCAGCCAACATACCCCGAGCCGTCATCACGACAGACCCAGATGGGAGCTCACCCAGACAGACCTAAACTCATTTTGACACACAGCGGAAGGCGCGAGGCCTCAGCCCCGATGGCCACTGCAGCCCACCGATGCACTGGGGCTCCCGGAGGCCCTGCTCTCACACCTCTGGCCTGAATCAGGCTGTCCTCTCCTCTCTCCCTTGACTGGCACCCCCTTCCCTGGCTTACTGAGGTCTCTGACTAAACCACATCTCCTCTGGGCAGCCTTCCTATTCCCGCCTTCCCAGGCAGAGTTGACCCCCCAATCATTAATCATTAGCTAAGAAGTCCCCTGCTGCTCCCCCCACAGCATAACCCAGGCAGAGGGCCATGAAGAACAGCTCCACTGCACGAAGCTTCCACAGGGTGGGGCAGCTGCACCTGTGACTTGTGCTCATTTTCGCCACCACAATTTCTCTTCTCTGCTACAGCATCTCAGTCTGTGCAGCCCAAGCCTCCCCAGAAGTATCTCTCAGGCCACCTCCTGCCCATTAGACCACTCCTTGCTCCTCAGGCCATCCCTAGCCCCACCCCCGCCAATATACCCTCCAACTGTGTGAATTCCCCACCAAGGTGTTTTCAAATGACATGGTAACAAGCAGAGACTTCATTTTATTTCCTTGTCAGAGCCACTTAAAAGGGAGCTGGGTGAATCCCCAGCTGGTACCTGTGAAGGGCCTGAGTAAGAGTGAGAAAAAGAAAGCGTATTATTGCATGTAGGGTAATCAGGGAAGGCTTCGAAGAAGAGGGGGGTTTGACCTGTGACTTTAGTGACAAGGAAGGACATTCTAGGCCAAGGAAATAGCATGGGTGAAAGTGTGGAAGCCTGAGACAGGATGCATCGTTCCAGGACCCTGCAGTGGTTTGGTGTCATGGGAGCCAGAGGGGTGACGGAAGGAGGAGGAGGTACTGCCGAAGGGGTGAGAAGAAGCAGGGCGAAAGTGCTTTGTAGGGGAGCATAGACTTGACGCTGCAGGCTGGGGTTTCCCAGGTGTGTTCTCCAAACACCAGGCCCAGGGAGTTCTCCGCTCCAAAGGAGGGGTGGGATTCTGTATTCCCCACTTGAAAATTCCTCCGACACAGGCTGCTATTATAAAGGCTCTCATAGTCACTACCTGGGGCAAGGCACCGGGCCATGCTCTCACCATGTTGCATGCAGCATCATATGACCCTCATCGCCACCCTATGAGCTAGGTACTGTTGTATCGTTCCCATTTCACAGGGAAGTTAAGAAATGTTCCCGAGGCCACACGACTAGTGGATGGTAGAGAGAAGGTTTCAACTCTAGCAGGCTGACTTTGAGCTGGCCCAGAGGAAACAGGCTGCTTAACTTTTTGTCTTGTCCAGCATTTCTCAAATTTCTTTTTATGTAATTATGGAAAAAGTATTTTTCACATCTAGTGACATTGTAAAAGGCAGTTGATTCTTTGTCCGTGGTGAGCTATTACGGGGTTCTGATCGAGGAGACTTGATTTGATTTGCAAATAATCTTAGGAAACTCATTATCAGTCACTTATATTTTAGTGGGAATTAGTCCTTTCTTGGGGTCTCTCCACTTTCTTATAAGCTCCCTGAGGGCAGGTACTGTCTGATTCACTGCTGTGTTCCTAGTGCCCAGGAGGTGTGGCACTCAATGGTGCTGTAAGAGCATTTGCTAGAATGAACTGAAATTCTCCTGTTGAAGACCATAGGAACAGTGGAAAGAAAGGCTGTAGTCTGGGAGGCAGGCGGTAGTAGGGTCAGTGCGTGGTAGAGAGAGAGGAGTCAGTGGTGGCTCTGGAAAAATGTCCTGGGAATCGGAGTCTTGGAGCTGGAGTAGAAAGCAAGACTCGCCTATATCATGGCATGGCTAAAGCCCAGGTCTGGGCTGGGTGTGGTGGCTCATGCCTACAGTCCCAACACTTTGGGAGGCCAAGATGTGAGGGTTGTTTGAGCCCAGGAGTTGATCAAAACACAAATCCAAATACCTACTCTGCATGTTTTCTCTTCTGGGGAGTAACTGACCACCTGATTATTTGGAAAATGAGGCATTTGTTGGAGTCAAAGGTGTAGCAAGAAACTTTTGGTTTTAAGAGTCAAAGTCAGAGAAAAAACACTCTCAGACTTGTATTCACCCCCACCCCCCCCCAAGCTACTGCAAAAAGCAGGGGCTTTGGAAGGTTGGTTTGTTGAAATGAAGTTCCTTAGAAGATACCTGGGCCCATTTCTCTCATTCTAAAAAGGACAAGACTGGAACCCAGAGAGAGCAAGGTCACAGAGCTGATTAAGCTGGCATCAGAATCCTCCCAGTCGGGAGCTCCTTCCATGGCTTCAGAGCCTGTGCCGCAATCCCCTCTCCCCAACCCTCCCCGACACCCCCCCCCCCCCCCCCCCCCCGAGAGAGCTCCCCTTGGCCCGGTCCTCTTCATCCTCTGCCCCTGTGCGCACCCCACACTTTACCTACCGCCCTCACTGCAGACTGCACTTCCCGTTCCCTGCGCCCCCTGTCTGCTGCTAATGAGATTACAGATCCTTGGTGAAATAGACAAGGGTTAATTCCCCCTGGCTTTATAGGGCAGGGCCCCGCAGGCCACAGGAAATAGCAGAAAGAAACCCTTTCATCAAAGCACTAAGTGTGATGATGACCCTAAGAGTCCGTGCCCCTGTTGAGCACACCAGGGTTCAAACTGTGTTTCCAAATATCCTCTGGGTGGAATTTTGTACCAGCCCTAAAAAAGTAGATGCTGTTGTCATCTCTATTTTACAGATGGGGAAACTGAGGTACAGTGAGATCAAATGCTTGTCCGAGGTCACACAGCTAGGAAGTGGCAGAGCTAGGACCTGAATGCATGTGTCTTGGGGTCTGTTATCTTTAAAAATAATAGGCCCAGAGAGCCTGCGGGGTGCCCAGCATTAGGCTTGAAACAGCTCTGAGGCATATGCATCCTATTTGCCTGTGAGTGGCCCAGCCCCCCTGTGAACTCATGTCCCCTGGACTCGAATCTACCTTCCCCACAATACTGCCAAGCACCCTTGAACCTATCTGCCTATTCATGTGGTAGAAACCAGGCTGGCTGAGGCCTGACTTCTGACATCTGTGACCGCGGCCAAGGGACTGGCTCCTGGGGTCTCAGTGTCCCTTTCTGAAAAATGAAGGTGGGAACCCTGGGGTCTGTGGGACGATTCCCTGTGATTAGCGTAGTTAAGACAACCAGCCCAGGCCTGGCCCACAGCACATGCACTCACCCACCTCAGTTTCTTTATCTGGCAAATGGCCGAATGAATAGTACTTATTTCTTGGGATTGGTGTTAGGATTAAATATGCCAGAACATGTAACATTCTTCTAGAATGGCACCTGGGGCACAGTATATGCTTAATTAATGCTGAGGATAACTGGTATCTTACTGTATCTTATTTTCAGTTCTTTCTGGAAGGAAGCAGGGGTAAAGATCAAACCAACCAAGCAAATGTTCCTCTTGTTCCTCCCAGTACCTGGTCCACTCAACTGTTTAAGAGGAGCACTTGGCTTTGAGGGCTGAACTCCCAGGTCACGTGGTCTGCTCTAATTTCCCAGGCCCTAATCTTCTCCCAGCTCCTAATGATGCAGCTGGTAATAGGATTGTGGCTTCCCTGCAGGGCGGCCACACAGGCATGGCTGTGGGGTTAGCGACTGGTGCTTAGCACCTCCGACCACCTGCCTGCTGAGGGGCTAGAGCCCTCAGCCCAGACCCTGTGCCCCAGCCAGCCTCCCGTACATGGAATGGTGCTGTGCCCCTTGCCAACAGGCCAGGCTTGCCATGGTGCCGCGTGCCATCCTGGCGCGAGGGAGGGACGTGTGCAAGCAGAACGGACTACTCATCCTGTCTGTGCTGTCTGTCATCGTGGGCTGCCTCCTCGGCTTCTTCCTGAGGACTCGGCGCCTCTCACAACAGGTCAGCCACCTACAGCATCTCGGGGTCCCTGTCCAGGAGGGGTGTGTGGACCTGAGGGATATGGGGTCCTATTCTCCCAGCTCCCTGGTGCCATGTTAGTGTATGGGTCCCTCTGCCCCTCTGGGTCCCAGTTTTCTCATCTGTAACATGGGAGTGATAAACACCTTGCAAGACTAGAGGGAGGAACCAGTCACGTGGCTGGGAGTGATTACAAACCCAGCACCACCAGGTGAGGAGAGGCGAGGGTACCTCATGACGACAAACACAGGAGCGAGAGCTACTCTGGGGCAAGAGGGGGTCTTGTATGAGTTCAAACAGGCACCAGAGAACACCTCCTAAAGGCTACTCAAGTGACAAGAGATCCAGGAAGGGTGCTCTAGGCAGAGGTGAGAGCAGGCAGCAGGTGCGGGGGCCAGAGCACAGGGGCCAGCAGGCCCGTAGGTTCTGTCACCATGCGTGGGCTTGCAGCAACCATGAGACGCTTTTGGGCAGAAGAGTGACAGGCCAGTCTGAGCTTGGGAGACCCCTCAGCTACTGAGTGGAGAGGGGTGGTATTGGGGCAGGTAGGGGGCCGAGTAAGGGGCAGCATGGGGGAGACGTGGCAGTGCTGACGAAAGAGGCAGATACGAGAACTGTTTTCAAAATGGGGAAGCTTCAGGATGTGGGGGCCGATTGGATGTGGGCTGGGGGACAGGGAGGCAAGCCAGGGCCTGGGTTTCCAGCCTGTGTAACAAGGAGCCCCTTTCCCTGTCAGCCCCCATCTCCTACAGGAGAGGGAGGGCTTCTCCCTTGGTGTTCAAGAAAGAAATCATTGTTCAACTGGGAAGCAAGGCTCTATCGAGGACTAATGCGGTGGGGGATAGGTGTCAAGACCTCCTGGGGAGAGAGATGGGACTCAACCACAAGTAAAACTAAGTCGAAGACAGCTGGAGATTTATAGCCAGTGAGCAGAGGGAGGGGGTCGGGGCCAGAAAATGACTAGAGGAGACATCAGGGGAGGGGGATTCTTGCTGAAGGCAGGCCAGAGCGATCAGACATTGATCCGGGATGAGGAATTCAAACCAGTATCGGGATGCTGAAGGGTGAGGGATCCTCACTAAACTGATTTGGCAGGACTTTTGCTACAGCTGGAGACTATGCAGGCTGAAGACAAGCCCCAAGGACGAAGCCTAGTGGAAAAGGGCGCTCAGAGGAGCCTGCGTAAAGTGTGGTCGAGGAGAGAGGCTTTGTCAATGGGCTCCTGGAAGATTTGCTATTCCCAAAAAGTCCTCTTCCCACAGCTCACTGATGTCTAATGCTATCTCTACAACTGGGGTCAGCCATTAGACTTAGTCTTCCATTAAAAGGAAAACACCCACTCCTGGAGAACGGAGCCATGGCTAGAGTGACCCTGTTAAGCCTCGAGCAGTTATTTAGGAAGCAGCATGGACTCTGGAGGTAGAGGAACCCTGAACTTTCACTCTGCTAGCAAATGGCTGGGCAAAATCCTCTCTGGGCCTCAGTTTCCTTATCTGTAAAATGGGATGTGGGGCAGTATATGTCTACTAGAATTGTTATAAGGAATAAACCAAGGATTCGTTGGTGCCCAGCATACAGTAGATGCTTACTACATGTTACTTCTCCCTCCCTCCCTTATCTACCTGTTCAAGTCCTACCTACAACAGGAGCCATCTCATCTCCCACAGCTGATGAAAAGTAACTGTGACTGCACTGCCAGCCGTCTGGCTTCAGAGCTGGTTATGTGGCTGTGTCTTTCTCCCACCAGGGTGCACACTGTTCAACAACACATGGGTTTTTTGTTGTTTTTTTAACCAAAATGTGAGCCTAGCCCTGTGTCAGGCCCAGAGAGAACACTCAAATATTTGCTGCATTAAACTGGCAATGGAACAAACAATCTGCAATCTGTTCTCTTTAATTTTCCTCAGCAACAAAAATATATCTCCTGCAGGAAGATTATTTTGTGAAAACAAATTGGAATGCCTATTGTTAAAAGCCAAACTCATCTGGGGCCTCCTTTGCCAAAGCTGCCTTTCCCATCTGTTTGGAAATGCAAATGTATTCCGGTCTGGATTAACCTGCCAGATAAATTGAAGGAAGGATGTAGAGTCTTAGAACAATTATTTGGCAGGAATTGGCTTTCTAGGCATCTTACTTCAAAATCCGGGATTTCTCTGTTTGATCTCTTTGCCTGTGACTCAGAAACTAAACCCTTCTTGTTTCGTAAGATTATGCAACAGGCAAAAATTATAAACAATTTGGAAAATGGTAGAATGTTCTGTTTGTGAAAAGAACTTACAAAATCACAGGATTTTATCTTGGGATATGAGTATCTCACTTAAAACTACTGAGCATTTTGAGGCTTCCAGTTAAACCATGGCGAATCACAGTTGTATCCATTTTTTTCCTCCTCCCTAGAATTCCACTAACATTTTAGTAACGGGATTTTTAAAGAAAAAACCACCAAGAATAAAGAGAATATAAAAGGAGACAGTCGAGAAAAGAAATCGAGAGGCTATAACAAATTAGACAACATGGAGATGGATGGAGCTGAGGATTTTGTTCAGTGGAGCACAGAAATCTGAAATCTTAGTCTGTGGAAGTTGATAGCAAGTCAGTTTGTCTTGTAAACTCCAGAACATAAAAGAGCAAGATGCTGACTGACTTTCGGACGGACAGCCCTCACGGCAGGGGGACAGGTGCTGATCTGGTTTTTGCACTGGGGCTGGGTGGGATGGTAGAGGAGTCTCCTTTATAGCAGAGTTTAGAGATCTTTTCTCTGAGGCTTCAGTGACAGAAGCCTCTTCCTGCCTTTGGCTGGGAAGGAGACGGTGCCTAAGCTCAGCACTAAGAGGATGGGGTTGGGGTTGAAAGCCCGGCAGGGTTTGGAATTTTGTAACCAGAGCAGTTAGACCCCTATGTCCCTTCCGCTTCAGCTGGGGGACTCATCCACCCATCTCTACCCCCTTCCTGACCCAAGGAACCAGAGAAGCTGGACTTGGGGGCATTGGGCCACCCCTGTGTGTGCTGGGGAGAGGGCTGTGCTGCAGCATCTACTTCAAACTAATTAGCAGACATCTGTGTCTGAGTGGGGTCCCCAGCATGGCTTCTGATCGCTGTCAGCTGGGCTTAGGCACCTTCTCATTCCCCAGCCAAAGGCAGGAAGAGTCTTCTCTCACCGACACCTCAGAAAAAAAAAATCTCTAAATTCTGCTGTAAAGGAGACTCCTCTACCATCCCACCCAGCCCCAGTGAAAAAGCCAGATCAGCACCTGTCCCCCTGCCCTGAGGGCCGTCAGTCACTTGACACGCCCCACTCATACACGCAGGCGTTTAGCACTTCAGACTTACACATGAGCAGAAAGCCACGCCACCGGAAATGTGAGGAGGCTGCCAATGTGAAAGAGGGTAAATGCAGAGAAAGGGGCCTCTAATGAGAGAAACAAAGGGGAAAGGGGGTCTCTAGTGAAGCAGAGACAATGTGGGGAGGAGAAGGAACCTCTGTAAATCTCCTCTGAAGCTTTCCGGAGCTGTGAGTGAAGATATAGTTACCATATAACAGAGGGGATGCAAAAAAGAAGGAACAATCAGAGAACAAGAAATAATCTGGGGAAATTAAAAATAGAACTGAGATAAAAATGTGAGTAGCTGCCCAACACATAGGAAAGATAAATATTCGAAGTGTTGGAGACCCTAAATACCCTGATTTGAACATTACACAGTGTATGTAACAATATACCACTGTACCCCATAAATATGTACAAATATTGTAATAGAAAATTTCTGGCCAGGCCTGGTGGCTCACGCCTGTAATCCTAGAACTTTGGGAGGCCAAGGTGGGCGGAGTGCCTGAGCCCAGGAGTTCAAGACCAGCCTGAGTAACATGGTGAGACCCCATCTCCAAAAAATAATAGTAATAATAATAATGTCAATAACCAAGATAAAGTCGTAGAAATCTCCCAGAAACTAAAACAAAAAGAAATGAAAATAGAAAAAGAAAATATAAAAAAATTAGAAGGTTCAATGTCCAGCTATCTAATGACACTTTTAGAGAGAGCTCGCAGAAGAAAAATTGAGGAGAAATCATTTGCAGAGAATCTAAGCAGTTTCTCAGAAGTGAAACGTAAGCATAGCACTGTCAATTTTGTTTAAAAAAGAAAGAAAACCCCATACTATGGCACATCACCATGAAATTAGCGAAAAGTGGAGATAAACAGATGATCCTTGGATGGTTCTGGTGGAATAAAACTGACCTCATCTACAGAACAGGAAATCAGAATGGCTTTGAACACCTTAAGCCACACTGGAAGCTAGAAGACAAAGGAGAAACACCTTCCAAACCTGAGGGGAAATTATTTCCAACTAAGAAACTCACACACGGCCAGGGTATTATCAGAGGTAAAGGTAGAATAAGGGCATTTTTACTCATGTAAGGACTCAGAAAAATTTCTCTCCCATCCACTGTTACTCAGAAATCTACCTAAGGAGATGTTTCAGCGAAACAAGGAAGTAAACCAAGAAGACAAGGGATCCCAGAAACAGGGGACCCTCTAAAGGATAAGTCCCAGAATGACAGTCAAGAAGAGAACCATGACAAGCACTGGGCCTAGAGAGCAGCCGGTCCAAACTGGGCAGGAAGGTGGAGAGCTCGTGGACCAAGGTCCCAGGCAGGATAAGAGAGAACCCACGTGCTTGAGAGAGCAGAAAATACTATTGTTAAGTAGTTTAGTAGACATGTTAAGATGTTTGCAAGAAATTAATGGGTGATTCCCAGAAAACAAGACATAAAAGTCAGTCAATTAACTTTAGGCTACAAGCAAGGAGGCATGGTTGTAGTACATTACTTGGCTCAAAGGTAAACACTATTTGACAATCAAAACATTATAAATTTTGACTATTGATTTACCTAAAAATTGATATAAACATAATGGTGAAATGGGTGGAGAGAAAAGGAGTAGGAACTAAGTCCTTACCAATCATGGCAGGGCAGTCGATAGATGTCAAAACAATGAATCAAGAAATAGCATTATGACCATATTATTTAGAAATAATGATACTGTGGGAAACAGCTGCAAGAGTTGAGCATGTTCACTACCAGGAAGTTGAAAGACAGGGATAGGGAGAGGTGAGGAAAGAGTTGCCTTTTGATCAGTAGAGCACCTTTTCTTTTTTTGAGACAGATTCTCCCTCTGTCACCCAGGCTGGAGTGCGGTGGTGCAGTCTCAACTCACTGCAACCCCCTCCTCCTGGGTTCAAGCAAATCTCATGCCTCAGATTTCTGAGTAGCTGGGACTACAGGCATGCACCACCACATCCACCACAGCCAGCTAATTTTCGTATTTTTGGTAGAGACAGGGTTTTGCTATGTTGGCTGGGCTGGTCTCGAACTCTTAACCTCAAGTGATCCCCCCACCTTGGCCTCCCAAAATGCTGGGATTATAGGCATGAGCCACAGAACCTGGCTATTAGAGCACTTTTAACTTAAATAATATATACTTATGGAGGCCAGCCACAGTGGCTTGCGCCTGGAATCCTAGCACTTTGGGAGGCTGAGCTGGGAGGACTGCTTGAGTCCAGGAGTTCAAGACCAGTCTGGGCAACATAGTGAGACCCTGTCTCTACAAAAAATACAAAAATTAGCTGGGCTTGGGGGCACACATCTGTGGTTTCAGCTACTTGGGAGGCTGAGGTGTCAAGATTGCTTCAGCCTAGGAGGTGGAGGTTACAGTGAGCTGAGATCATGCCACTGCACTCCTGCCTGGGTGACAGAATGAGACCCTGTCTCAAAAAACAAAACAAAAAAAAAGAATATATACATGGACTAAAGTTAATTAAAAATACTAGTCATGGTGGGCATATTTCTTTAAAAAGCAGATTTTCTGGTGCATTGGAAGTGGTAGCAGAACAGCACTAGGAGGCCCGATTCCTGGTCCTGAGCTGTGGTTAACATTGGGTGGGCCTGTGGCCTCCCTCCCGAGGTTCAGCTTCCTCATCTGTCACATGAGTGGGCGGGGCTAGAAGCCTCAGATCATTAACCAAGTATGTTTGGCTTTGATTTTTAAAAAAGTTGCAAGTACAAAAATTTAACTTGTATGATGTTTGAAAGTCCATTCGCCTGCCTCACCCACAGCCTCACCCTCTCAATCAGGAAAGCGGGCCCCATGCCAGGGTTGCCAGAAGTAGCAAAACTGAATTAAGTTAAAAAATTTTAAAAACAGCACACCCAGATAAACTGGAGTTTCAGATAAACAGCACATGTTTTTAATATAAAAATGAGTTACATGTTGTTATCTGAAAGTCTGGGCTTAGCAGTCCTTCTTCAGTTGTCAGATCCTGGTCATGGGAGACAGCTTATTGGGCAAGGAGTTGGTGCCTTAGTCAAAGATCCGTGGACAGGCTGGAGCCAGTGGCCTAGGAAGGGGTCAGGCGTAAGAACTCTGCCCAAAGGGGCTCTTTCTACTGTGTGGTGTCGCACCCATCCAATCCAATCCTCCCTCTCTCAGCATTTTAGGGGAGAAGCGCTAGAGAATGGACCCAAAACAGATAGAGAAACTGAGTTGCAAGAAGGCCATGGTCTGCTTAGGAGTGGGTATCCTCACTAGCTAGGCTGGGAGCTTCTCGGGGCAGGAGCCCTGCCTAGTTCATGTTGGGGTACCCACCGTGACGCCCGGCACGGTGTGGGTTGAATGAACGCGTGAACAGTACTCGGCTCTGTCCTTGCCATCTGCCACATGAGAGAGATTTTATTCCACGGCTAGGCAGATGCGTGGTGCAGATGGGAGGAGAGCTGTTATTTGCAGGATTACTGAACATTTACTATCATCTGGGCTCTGTGCTAAGTGCTTGCGTGCATTCTCCAGTTTAAGCCCCGCAATGACCCTGCGAGGCAGAGTGGTCCCCCCTTATCCGCAGTTTCGCTTTCCGTGATTTCAGTTACCCATGGTCTGAAAATGGGCGAGAACAGTATTGTAAGATATTTGAAGAGAAACCACATTAACATAACATTTATTACAGTATGCTGTTCTAATTGCTCCTTTTAGTTGTTACTGTCAATCTCCGTGTCTAATTTATGAATTAAGTTTTATCACAGGGACGTACATATAGAAAAATCATAACGTCCACAGGGCTCGGTCTCTGTGGTTTCAGGTACCCACTGGCAGGCTCAGAACATGTCCCCTGAGAATAAGTGGGGACTACTGTACTTATTACCCTCATGTTACAGATGAGAAAAATGCAAAACTCAGAGTGTTCACAGAAGATGCTTAAGGCCACACAGCTTGTGGGGCATTGGTTGGGGGGGTGTTTACTAGGATTGGAACCCAGGTCTGTGGCTCCAAAGCTGGTTCTTTCTCCATGGACTCTGCTGCCATGTGCTAGACAGGGGAGTCAGATGGGGTAGTGCCTCACAGGCTGTAAAGAATGGAGCCACTGTGCAGTCTGTGTCTCTGCTATAACCCCAGTTCTTACTGTGTTTCCAGGAAATTAGTTACTTCCAGTTCCCTGGAGAGCTCCTGATGAGGATGCTGAAGATGATGATCCTGCCACTGGTGATCTCCAGGTGAGAGTGGGAGCTTTGGCCAGGCGGTCCGGAATGAGGAGGGGATAGGATGGCTTCTGCTCCTGCTGTGGGTGGCTGGACAGCAACCACAGGTCCCGGGAGGAGTGTGACTGTGGGGCCATTATGGGCAGTGCCGTGGGATGCTGGCTTCTGAGTCATTCAGTTATCGGTCCCATCCAGTAGAATTTTTAGTGGACAAAACAGGTGATTTGGAGTGATAGGACATGACCTGACTCCAAGATAGCTGAAGGCCAGAAAGCTCAGAGATGGCTTCGCAGAGGAGGGGCTGTTCATGATGACGAAGCAAGGCCTGAGAAAAGAGAACTAACTCTGATGACACTCCAGTGATCTTATCCTGACTCGGCTGTGTACTGTACTGCCTGTGTAACCTTGGACACATTATCTCACTTCTGTAAGCCTCAGTCTCCTCATCTGTAAAATGGGGATAACAACACCTACTTCAAAGGGTTGTCATGAAGACTATATACTTGAGCACTCAGGAGGTTGCGTCTTGGGGACAAGGGAGGGATGGCAGGAGATGAATTTGGAGGGTGAGCTCTTGCCCAGTCATGAAAGACCTTGAACACCAGGCTGAAGAATTCAGGTCTCACCCAGTAGGGTGGGGACTGTGGAACTCCTGAGAGACCACTTGGTCCCTTTCACGGATGTGCTAGGTGACCTTGAGCAACCCTATCCCTGTCCAGGTCTCAGATTTTCCAGATGTATAGTGAGTGGCTGCTCCAGGTGGTGTCTAAGAGCCCTGTGCTCTGAGGCCATGAGAAATCTTCATCTTCCGGGACTCCCTGCAGAGAGGAAACTGGACCAGCCTCTGCATGGGCTCTGCCTCCCTGCCTCCCTGCTGCTGAGCAGTGAGCCAGCTCCTCAGCCCTCTCCCCTTTGCGAAGTAGAGATAATCCCCAGGCCAAGGGCACTTTGTGTTTTCTGCACAGAGGCTCTTGCAAGCAGCATCTAAATCTCTCAGGGCTCAGCCTTCAAGGCTCTGCTGAAATGCTACCTCCCTCAGGAAATGTTCCCTGACTGCTCAACTCACTATAGTTACTGTCTCCTCTTTCTGCATCTTTTGAGTCATTCACTGAACTGGTGACTCTGTCAGGGTCGGCAGTCCTGTACGTTGCGGAATCTGTATGACACGTCCAGTTCTTCAACACGGTCTCTCGCCCTCGTGAAGCCCCCTTCCCTGTGGACTCACGCTCTTCTGACGTTTTGCCTGCTCTCTGCCCCTCCATCCTGGTCTCTCTCCTTCTACTCAACCTCCAGATGTTGCAGTTTCTCCAGCCTTTTCTCATCTCATCTCATAGCTTTAATAGGCCACCTACAAGCCCAGCGCTCCCAGATGGAAATCTTCCCAGACCTCTCCTCTAAGCTCCACACTTCATTAACCAATGGCCTATTTGACATCTCCACTTGGATGCTTCACAAACATTTCAAGTTTTCTTTTGTTTTGTTTGAGACAGGGTCTTGCTCTGTCGCCCAGGCTGGAGTGCACAGGCACAATCTCAGCTCACTGCAGCCTCGACTTCCCAAGTTCAAGTGATCCTCACACCTCAGCCCCCCAGCTGGGACCACAGGCACACCACCACACCTGGTTACTTTTTGTGAGAGGCGGGGTCTTACGGTGTTGCCCAGGCTAGTCTCAAACTCCTGAGCTCAAGAGATCCACCCGCCTTGGCCTCCCAAAGTGCTGGGATTACAAGCAGGCGTCACTGCGCCCGGCTCAAGTTACCCAGCAAATTGCCTCCTTTTCCTGTTTTCTTCGTGTCTGCAAATGGCATCTCCATCACCCAGGTCTTCCATCAGGCCCGTCATTGGCTACTCCCTTTCTCTCAACCCCGCAGCCTCATCCGCAAGGCTAGCAGATTCTGCCTCCTGTCGAAGGTAGCTTCCTCCCTGCCCTACAGGCCCAGGAACTCTCTACTCACATCTGGATTCCACAGCAGCCTCACGTGGTCTCCTCACCTCACTTCTTTTCTCCCCACCCCACCGGCATCGATTCCACCCAGTGGCCAGAAGGATCTCGAGAAAAGTGGATAGGGCCCTGCCCCTCATTTACCTTCAAAGGCTTCCACGACGTGGAGGATCAACCTGCAGACCGTTAGCCTGGTCTAGGAGGCCCTGCGTGATCTGCCCTGCTCACCCACCTCATCCATGTTGCACCCTCTCATCCCACCAGCCTCGAGTTCCCTGAGCCGACCAAGCCCTCCCCACCTCAGGGCCTCCACACGCTGTTCCTTCTGCTGGAACGCACTTCCCCAAAAACTTACGTCTCTTCTTCCTCCTCTTTCTTTCCATCTCAGCTTGCACATCCTCTTCTTAGGAAGGCCTCCCCACCGGCCCCTGGCTCTCCCTCACTGTGCCCTGTTCCCTTCTGGCCACAGCACATATCACATGTTGTCATGCCACATGCATTCACTCGTCACTTATTTATCTTCCACTGCGCTGTAAGCTTTGCTAAGTTAAGGACGCTATTCTGTCTAGATTCAACTCTGGGTTGTCAGCACCTAGCCAAGCGCCTGGTATGTAGTAGGTGCTCATGAATACTGCTCAAGTGAATTAATGAATGAATCCAGCAATCATGCGTTGTGCTTTCTGGACACTTGGCCCTGTGCTGGGTGAGGCAGACACAGAGATGATGGAGAGACTGTCTCTGCCCTTGAGGTGTTCACTGAGTGCTGGGCAACTCACAGGAGAACAGCCAGTCATTGCAGAGCTGCGTGATCGCACTGGTAGGGGAAGCCGGGACCCGGGGCAGGCGGCTCTGTCCGCCCTTTCCTGCCAACTGTCCTTACTGCCCTGGCACTGTCCCTCTCTCAGAACAGAGGCTCCTCAGAGGCCGCTGTGTGGACCCTGGAGTCACACAGCCTGGCCTTGCTATGTATTAGCTGTGTGGCCTTGGACAAGTCATTCAAAACAAAACAAAACAAATCCTGTTCCGAAGTCAGAGGTCTGGGTCCTCGACCCGCCTCCACCACAAGCAATCATGTGATCTGGGGTGAGGCCCCAACACTGGGCCTCTTTACCCAGCAACAAAGGGCCACCCAGCTCTCCACCTTCTGGCTTTCAAACGCCTGGTCTCCCTCCACCAGACCCAGTGTTCTCTTGGCTGGAAATGGCATGTGGTATGAACTTGAGAAAAGCCAGGACGTGTTCGCACATTTTGTATGTTTATTATAGAGTTTGGACTGGCGCAGAGCAACCGTGTCACTGAGAAATGGAAGTGCTTTAACATTTTCCTACCAATGGAGAATTAAACCTTCATGGGGGAAAATGACGCATTTCTGAGCCCTAAAGCCTTGGTTCCTGAACGCTTCCTCCTTCGGCCTCAAACTGGCCTATTATCCATGCATCTGTCCATCCATGCTGTCCCCCGAGCTCTTGCTCCTGGCCAGCCCAGGGCTGGGCGTCCCTGCCCTCGAGGAACAGCCACTCTGGTGCGAGGTTGTTACTCAGGGCAGAGCAAAATCACCAGAGCTGCTTGGAAAAATTCAGACGTCCAGCCTGACCCTGGGCTGACTGAACCAGAAGCCCAAGGGGCCCAAGCAGGGGTTTGCTTTCAGAGCTGGAAAGTGTTCTGAGGATTTTAAACCACCTGATTGTTCTGGCTCCACAATCAGACCTTCTGGCTCCACAGCGCAGGAGCCCAGCAGAAAGCTGTGGCACTCCCATCTCCAGGGGCTCCACGCTGTGACCCAGGAAGGCAAGGGTTTTCTGCAGCATGTCCTGGCTACAGGGCAGTCGAGTGAAAGATCGGGGGAGGTTATATTTGGGCTCACCTGTTTCCAGTTCCAACCACCTACGGGTCTGGGCCTTGAAGCCTGGCTCCCATGACATCTGTTCCCACCTATTCTCCAGGACAAACAGCCACTTTTTCCCCACGCCAAGCCCTGGAACCAGGCTGGTCACCCATTAGTCCCACAGCTTGCCACAGGGGTCTGTCCCCACACTCCTGCTCCTGCCCAGCCCCTGCCATGCACACCCTTTTTTAATCAAAGTCTCACTCTGAATTCAAGACGTAGCTCAAGGTTCTGTGTGGGAAGTCCCTCCACCTCCCCATTTGTTAGTAAAATGGATGGTGACCTGTCTCCAAAGCTGACGCTGTGTGTGACCTGCATGAGCTGAGTGTCCTTAGCACAGTGAACTTGTGGTCACAACTGGCGTGCCACACAATGGGGGACAGACATCTTTTAGTCCAATAGTGACATCTATGTGAGCAAACAAACTAGCATCCCTATCCGGAAGACCCCTTCATCTCTCTGAACAAGAAGTGCCCCTGTCAAGGGGTAGGGCTGCTGACATGGCCCGGGTCCTGTGCATCTTTGTTTTTGTCTGAGATACCGGGAGGGGATCGGGTCACTGGCCCCCTTGTCTTTCACACTGACCTCTGCCCTGTGCCCAGTGTCACAGCTTCATTCAGAGGATGGAGATCTAAGCAAGGAGCAGAGGGAAGTGGTGGGGTGTGAAGAAGTGTGGGTGGCTGCAAGGGTGGACGTGAGGGCTGAAAGGCCCCTGGGCTGCCATGGAGGGCCACCTGCTGGGAGACAGACAGTCACAGGCACACCTTGCTCCAGAGAAAGGAGGCCCAGTGGGAGGGCAGCAGGGCCGGTGGGGGTGGAGCTGAGTCCAGTCACTCTTCCCACAACCTGGCATCTTCCAGCTGTGGGCTCTTTTTTCCAGAACTTTTCCAACCCAGCCCCTGGCCCAAGTCCCCCCTCAGAGAGGTGCGCCTCAGTCCAGCTGAGTGCAGCCCACGCTTGATCAGGGGTGGCTTCATCTGTCACAAAGTGGCGGGGGAGCAGGCAGCACAGGCGGGGGCGGCCAGGATCTGCAAAGGGTACAGGGCAGGAACAGGGCTCTGGAGTCACTCTCTAGACATGCAAACGTAAACAAGCCTTTTAGCATCTGAGCCTCAGTGTCCTTATCTATAAAGTGGGAAGAATACCTTCCTCATGGGGTTATTATGAAAAGTAAATAAGAGAATGTAT